CCACACTGCTGTGCAACCATCACCATTATCCATCTGTAGAACTTTCTTCGTTGCTCCCAGCTGACCCTCTGTACTCAATAAACAGTAACTCCCATTTCCCTCTGTCCTTAGCGCCTGGCAATCATTCATTCATTCTACTCCTGTCTCTGTGAATTTGATTACTCCGGGTACCTCACCTGATGAAATCATGAAGTCTTTGTCCTTTGCAAAGGGTTATTTCAATTAGCATACTGCCTTCAAGATTCATTCATGTTGTAGCACATTTAAGAATCTCCTGCCTTTTCAAGCTGAATGATACCCCCCTGTATGTATCTACCACATTTTGTTTACCCATTCATCTAACAGCAGACACTTGGGCTGTTTCCACTCTTTTGCTACTGCGAGTAATGCTGTGATGAACAAGAATGTACAAATACCTGAATCCCTGCTTTCAACAATTTTCTATTTTCCTGACAAAAGTTTTAAAATTATTCATAGTGCCAATTAATGCTTAACTCATTTTCTATGTGTACATTACATTTCATAAGGATTAAAAAAAAATCCTATAGATCTGGAATTCAGTTACCATGGAAACTCACTTTCTGATTCTGTTTTTGCCTTTCTTCCTGTGATCCTCTCTCTCTTGGCCTTTCTGTGAAGCAAGCAGTGCTTCCTTACCCGTTTAAAAATAAACCTTCTAGTGAGGTATGAAACCTACAGAAAATTGTACAAGTAATACACATCAATGTAGCAAATTATTCACAAAATGAACAGTATGGTTTGAGTGTATGTGTTAGGAACATGAAGGGTGTGTGCCTGGAAACAAAATAATGTACATTTCAGGACATCAACAAAGTCATTTATTTATTTATTTATTTTTAATTGACTAATTAATTATCATCTATCTATGTAAGGAGGTCAACAAAGCTTTAAACTGAAAAGTAGCTACTCAGATCTAAGGAGGTAAATAACATGATACTGTAAAGCATTAATACCTGGAGTTTAAAGTGTTTGCCTCTCAGGAGTGAATATTGGGGTAAAAAAGTATGGGGGCAATATGTTATTGTTTTCATGATTTATATATTTGACTTTTTTAAAAAAGATTTTATTTATTTATTTGACAGACAGAGATCACAGGCAGGCAGAGAGGCAGGCAGAGAGAGAGAAGGGGAAGCAGGCTCCCCGCTGAGCAGAGAGCCCAATGTGGGGCTTGATCCCAGGACCCTGAGATCATGACCTGAGCTGAAGGCAAAGGCAGAGGCTTAACCCACTGAGCCACCCAGGCACCCCTATATATTTCACTTTTAAAAATATATATGTATTATCTATTGCCTTTTGAGAAATAATTTCCTATTTACAATAAATTAATCGACATCTATGATCTATCCTCCTCCACTCTAAACAAGACCTTTGTCATCATTTCAAATGTTCATCTAGGTTTTTCTGTGTCTTGGTTAAATACCTTGACTTTTAGTATGATCTTGATATCATGTTTTAAAACATGTCTCTACGATTTGGACTTAATTATGAGTTGTAAGCTTTTTGGCCACATTTTATTTCCTAGCTAAAAATTAGACTGGTATCTTTACCCACAACAGCATCTACTATCCCATGTTACAATTTTGACACCAATTATACACTTTTCTAACACACCACCAAGCAATTCTCTGACTCCTGAAGGATGTCCTACAGTTTAACCCAATTCAAACACTATCTACTTGGAGGTAGCATCAGATGCCACAGATTAAGGATTGAGCTGGACAAGACTGCCCACCTCCTCTCATTTCAGACATCAAAGTCCAGACTGTCACCTGTGCTTCTGATTGGCTATAGAGAGACTGGAGGTCCAACAACCTCCTCCCTGGGTTTGACTAATTATGAATTTATTATAAAAGGTTATAACCTATAGTCAGATGGAAGAGATGCATAGGGCAAGATATAGGGAAAGGGTGTAGAGCTGCCATGCCACTTCTGAACTGAGCTACTGTCCCCAAATTAGGGGACACCACATGTTCACCAACCTGGCAGTTCCCTGAACCCTGTCCTTCTAGCTTTTTATGGAAGTTTCATACCGCTTGGTGTGACCGATTAACTCACTGGCTACTGGTGATCTATTCAATCTCCAGCCCCAGGCTCCTTCCCAGAGGTGGTGGAACAGGTGGAACTGAAAAGTTCTACCCTCCAATCACATGGTTGTTTCCCAACCCTTGGGTGTTTCCCGAAAGTCACCTCCTTAAACAACTCAGGTGTGACTGAAAGGGTTTGTTATGAAAATCAAGACCTCTTTATCACTCTTATCACCTAGGAAATTCCAAGGATTTTAGGAGCTCTGTGCCAGAAATAGAACAAAGACCAAATATATGTTATAAATTACAGTATCAATATGTCTTCCTGTTGCTGGGATATTTTGCTGTTATTTCTTCTTTTTGGTGGAAAAGATCTTTAAGTAATTTTCTGAGAAATGGTTTGTGAGTGCTCAGGTATGAGTTCTTTTAATTCTTTGCTCATACAAAAATTCCAA